TTACATGTATATATAATGATTATCTAACTATGCAGTTACTTTAAAACGTATCACAATAACGTGTTAGAAAATGAGAATTTTACTTGCTTCTATCAACTATCAAAAATCATGAGAAATCATGAGAAATCGATGGAAATCAATGGAAATCAATGGAAATCAAGAGAAATCAAGAGAAATCGTAAGAAATCAAGGAAATCGTGAGAAATCAAGGAAATCAAGTAGAAATCAAAAGAAATCAAGGAAATCGTGAGAAATCACGAGAAATCACGAGAAATCATGAGAAATCAAGAAAATGAAATTAGAAATCAAGAAATCAGGAAATCAAGAAATCAGTTTGTTCCCCCTTGGTTAGAACGCTAAGAAGCGTCTGTAGTTCCAGGAATTGCATGCATCGATACGTATGAAGATAGTTTTATACCATCCATTCATCCCTCCTGAGTAATGTAGTAGAGATTTATTCTTCTTCATGAGGTACTCGTGTATACTAGACATACTAAACGCACATTCGATTCTTCAAACTTTTCAAACAAAACTAAGCGATTATTGTCTTCTCTTTTCCATTTGTCTTGAGGAAGCTTGGGGATCTGAAAAACTGCACTTGTTTCCATCTATGTCGGTGTGTGTAGGATAAATATCATCCGCCCACATTTTCGCCACAGCCACATGCACCCTCAAAAGCTAAAAAAGCATTATTTAATAAGTAAATTTCTTTACTTATAATTGTAATATTTTCACTGATTTATATAGAACAAAAATTACTGGTCAAAAAAAATTATCTACTGACCAAAACTGATATATTTATTGATCAAAAAATAGTGATCATTTTATAAGAAAACGACTGATCATTTAAATAAGACCCTTTTAAATTTTTGTAGATACTTAGCCTTTTAATTATACAGTTCTTCTATAGATATTATACTTGGTACAATATTATATCAAATGGGGACTTATTAGCGGATAATTTTGCATATATTACACGTTGTTTAATTATTGCTATTAATATAGTTTCCTTTTTTGCATTAATTAAACTATATATATTAACATCAACGAGTGTAGGTATGGATATGGGTAAGAATGTCTATCGTCTCAATCCATACTCACACCCACCCACACAACAAGGTATAAATCTGTATTTTACTATTATTATGATTCATACCTTTCTGAGATTCGTAACGATTTGATACTAGTAGTATTTCATCAGCCGCTTCATATATATGCTATATTCAAAATTAAAACACGAAACTTAATTTAAATTGCTTATCTTTGCTTTTTTTGTCTACCAGCTGTAGATACTGAAGAAACGTCATCATACTGTAATGACACATTTCTGAATATCTCAATAATGTCACAATAGTAATATAACAACAATTCGAAAATAGAGTAATGAGCATCTTGAAAATCAGAAATATACAGATATAATTGTTAAAATATTCTGGCACGATACGTGAACAGTAATATACTAATATCTTTCATGAGTACACATGAAAATATAATGATTCCAATTGAATTCGTAAATATTGATTTTGTGATGTGAATTATTTGACGTATATGTAGGATTTTATTTCTCAGTTAGTCTCATAGTGACTACTATTTCAAAAGTATCACCTTTGTGAAAAAGATCTACAGTTTCTTAGATTAAAAGTAAACAAAAGTTATAAATATAGTGAACAATAATGATTTCAACTAACTCTCTAGCGAATAGTTTAAGTGTTATAAAACAAAAAACAGTCATCCTATTATTTGACTATTATTTTAGTAGGATAAGAATTAAATTGATGAAAAGAATATAACACATGAAAAATAGAGGATTAACGAAAAAAATACAGTGCGAAGAATATACAACATAGCTCAAATAATTTTCTTCTAGTCAAATAACACCGAAAAGAAATTGTGATTATAAGAAACTCTTCATACTACATATTTTCTATTCCAATGTACAAAAGATGAGTAAGACATGTAAATTTACAGTTTCAATTCATTTGAAGTTACTTTAGTCTTTTTTGTAATAATTGACATATGTAGATAGCTGAAAAGGTTGAAATTGATGTACTCAAACTAATGAAAAGAGTTCAGTTCATTTCTGAGTTATATCGATGGGCTTGCATCGACTTTCAAAACTTCAAAGTATCCATCATCAAATATTGCAATTGTCACAATATTTAGAATAAAAAATATATAAATATGTTGATATATAATATGGTATATTTCATTATTAATTCTGAGTGAGACACCGTTCTCAACAATATATTTTGAGACATATTTTGCAGCAAATATCATTCTAAAATAGATATCCAGATTGATGCATATTTAAATTCAGCATTATAATATAAATACTCAATAGTATATTTATAATATTGATCAACCAAAGATATATAAGTAATAAAAGCTGAATAAATATTTCTTCTTGTAAATAGTAACTATTGATATTTTTCAATATGTACATGGTAGAGCATTCCTCAAAAAAAAAAGAACAAACTATATGATATTCGAATAAAAATAAACTTAAATGTATTTTGTTGAAGAAGAGAAGAGTTTCTGACGATACTGGTTGATTCTTGGAATGAGCTGATGTATATAACCGATGAATATTAGTAGGTGTAGTCAATAAGAAACAGATCAAATATATAAAATCAGTCATTTTATCATTCTGTTTATTAATATAGATAAGTTGAAAAATAATGAGTTTCATACATAAATCTGATACAAAGCTACTAGCATTGAAAATATTGAAAATACCCCCAAAGAATGGTTTTCGAAGTTGAAACATTGAATAGTCTATATGTTCCAATAAGTTGTTAATAAATTAATTGATAAATATGTTTTCAACATATAACAAATGTTTGTATATAAAAAT